TCATGGTACACAGGTCCACGAATTAGTGAACGTGACATTCAAAGAATTCGAGGGCAAATACATATTCTTGGCTATCTAGCTTTCAGCGAAGTTTGCGTCTGCCTGTTCGCATCTATGTTTTTTTTTTCATTAACTCTTAGATATATTCTGATTATTTAATATCGCGATCATAAAACCGTTTATTTGATTTATATATATATATATGTTTGCATGTGTGTCACGTTTACCACTGAAACTTCAAATCAGAACTGTGGCCTGTACCAGTGTAAAATTACCCCTTCAATGCAATGAGAAAACGTTCTTTTCTTCTGTCAGCGTATCTAACAAGCAACCTGCGTGACGTCAAATCTGAATTGTGGATTGGACTGAGCGACACCGTCAATAATCACGTATATCGTTGGACTGACAATTCGCCTGTTGATTATTATAATTGGGCGCCAGGGGAACCGAATGGCGATTTCAATGTAAGTATCTGGTTTGTACATCGTAGTAAACCACAGTCTCGTCTCGCACGTGATGGTTACCACTAGAATGCTACGGGGAAAAAAACATGCGTTCTATGCGTCGCGTGGGACCCATGTTGACGCGATGCTTATGGTCACCCTTGATTTGTTATTTTGTCAGGAAATTTCACTTATAAATAAAAAAAATAAAAGGCTAGGTCTTTTATCTTTATTAATTTACGTTCACATTGATGAAACTATGCGGTCAAGAATGAGCTTGTTCACATCATGTCCTTATGCGATATACTACTGGGCACGCGTTGGTCACATTTCGCCCAAACATCGTATTGTATGTCTTTCAATTCCAGGAAAACTGCGTTGAAATGAATTTCCGACAATATGGAGGTATTTGGAACGACGTAGCCTGTACCATTCACGAACAAATGGGATATGTTTGCCAGGTTGACAAGAGTAAGTACTGGCCTTTTATCAAATGTCATGTAATAAGGCCACATGGCGCAACTGTAAACTATACGGCCACGAAGATTAACCACGCTTGCGCAGAAGTTGATATCTTATTGCGCCCTCGCCAGATGACGTTCAAAAATGATACGGATATTAACTTGAGTGTTCAACTATAATACAACTTGCGGTTAATGAACACTCTGTTCGAACTCTACGCACGTACGGTGTTCGGGGTTATTGAAATAAACAAAACAAAACAAAATAAGGGTATATTCTACCAAAATGATTAGATAAACGCAAAACAATTTCCATGTCCTAATTTCATTTGTGAATCTCCCCCGGCGAACCCTTCACCAGCGAAATTCCGGGGCGAATTTGCATGTCATGATGGAACATAGCGTTCAGAATCACTTTGCGAAAGTTTGTAGGCAGCTTCAAAAAAAGCATAATTCAGCATGGGTACCTTCGCCCAAATACGAGTAGCCCTCTCCCGGCGGCGAAGGCTGTTCAACGCGTCCGATAACGTTTTGATCTTCAGTCGACCATCAATAAAGATATTGGTGAGAGGTTTTACCATATTTTAGACAATCGTCTATACAACCAAGAACAGTAGCCGATTTGAAAGACATTGCCTTAACCCAAATTAATCGTCATTTCGATTTCACAGAATGGTGTTTTTACTCTTCTACACAATCATTGAATCAACCGTAATCTACGGCTGTGACGTATAGAGTGACGAAAGTTCAATTTTCTATACTAGTATATTGTAATTTCTACAAATGTTCTCAATGTTTTACCACACATTATTAGTTTGTTTGAACAGGTTTCAAGTTTGCAAGTTTTACATCAAATAAACAGTGTTTGCATCTATGTTAAAAACATTTCCTGCATCTGTGACTGTAAATCTGTATCTTATAAAGTGCCTACGTGTGTTATAATTTCAGACCCAGCACTTCCGCCCTTAGAATCACCGCCGAATCCCTGCAAAGCTGGATACGAATTTTACTGGAAGGGTTGTTATAAGGTCCTCGCTGAACCGTACAGTTTCAGTGATGCCCTTTCGCAATGTCACAGTGATGGTGCAAATCTGGTCAGTGTTGAAGATATTTATGAACAGGCATACATTGAGATGTTAGCGCTACAGACGAAACAAGACGTTTGGATTGGTCTCTCAGATCAAAAGGTACGTTTTTTCTATTTTTCTAGGTTAAAAAATGATGTTTCTGGTCCTAAAGTTTGAAAAAAAATTATGCGATAGGCGCCTGATACGCGCACTGACTAGAAACAAGTCATGGCCTTATTGATGGGGTGTACATTAGATGTTATTTTGGAGCTAGTCCAATACATTAAACATGTCAAATACATATCTGAAACATTACATATTTTTATATAGGTGGCGCATTCTATCGTAGGTATAAGTTTTATTCCTAATGACGAATAACCCCCTAACTAAACGCAGTTCTCGATTTAAGTATATTGCTTACACACCTTGACGTCACGGGGTTCTTCGTCGCTAGAAGGCTCGTGAATTGGAAGGATATACAGTATTTTGGGTCGACATGTACAATGTCACAAATTATATCCCACATTCAAAAGGAAGGTGATATATAATATCCATGAACACGAGTTCGATGGCTCATTCTCTTTTCTGTTTTTCAAACAGATTTCATACATGAGTAGGAATTGTATCTGTATGCCATCGACTATATATGCAATACACATCCATGCGTTCATAATAATACATGTATTACAGGTTTCCGGAGAGTATGATTGGACTGACGGTAGCCCTGTACTTTACACCAACTGGGGCGATGCTGAACCTAGTAAAGCTGATGGTGAGGGATGTGTAATGCTGACCTTATCTGGTGGATGGGATGATACAAACTGCGACACTCAAACAGCAGCTGTATGTAAATATTGGATAGGTGAGTGGATACAGTATGGAAAACTGAAACTTAAAATTAGACATATCCGCCATTAAAATCTCCAATGAAGAACTAAGTTTGCTATGCTAGTACACCAATGCCGAGACGCACATTGTGTGAGACACATGGCAAAGATAAGGGATTTTTAAACCGATCGACTCCGGTACAAATCGGTGATAGAACTCGATTTCTTGTCACATCTTGTTGAAATAATTGTCGGTACACACTATAAATTATCTAACTTTTAAAATATATTGATTTGTTTCGCCCAGATTTGACACACATTTGTCGTGTAAATATCATATATCATGTGGTTACGTCATATCTGTTTATTTTCGATTTTACGGAACCCACGACTCCAAGTTTCCACATGTATGTTTCCGTGCAGTATCTCGTTATTCAGTTTAAATTAGATATCTGGCCTGTAATTTACAAATTTATAAATCATATAAATTGCTGATAGATGTAAACCACAGTTTATCATTTGTATACATATATATATTTTCTCGTGCCATTTTTGTTTCGGTTCAATATCTTAGATAATGTTATACTTGTTCGCTGCAGGTGATCGCCCGACAACCCCCAAACCTTCTGTTGGAACTTGCCCGACGGGAAACAGCAGTATTTGGGTTGAGCGCGGAGATTATTGTTATAGCTTCACGAGTCTCGAAGATGGCAAGAACTGGCCCGAGGCATCATTTGAGTGTCAGAAAATTGGAGGGTATATTGTCACCATTTCCGGACAAGACGAAAATGATTTTATTGAAAGAAGTATTGTGAGCAGCTGGACCGTGTCGTCAATTTGGATTGGTCTAGTCCGCAACTCATTTGGTAAGGGCGATATGTTAGAATATGACCAAGTCCCCGCCAGTGTGAGAGAAATGTAATATTATTCCACATAAGAGGCTTCCCAATTCCATTCAAAATGCAATCCGATCGATTTGTACAAATCGCCTAAATCTGAACTTCAATGAAAGTTGATGAAAAACAAAAATGATTCAGTGTATGCGTATATTTTCACTTTCGAACAAAATGAAATAGTGAGCGGACGTTGACCCCGGGGACGTTGACGTCAATTTGCGCATACATATTTAACCTACTCTAGCCAAACAGAGTAAATGGTTCATCCATTACATTTGTAGGTCGGAAATTCAAATTCAATGTTGTCTTGATGTTTGCGTGTTTGACATATAATATGATATGTTATTGCCATGTTCGGAGCAATTTCTATGTTTCATTCTGTTATTATTTTTTTCTTGCTGAAAAGTGGGCATTGTCGCAATTCGTCACGGTAAATTACAGCGATGACCTTCATTAACAATTGTATTAAAAATATCATCCATCATATTCAAAAGAGAAGAGGCATATTCATTTTGGCCAACTTCCACATTTGATTAAATGTACTAGGTTATTCAGTATTCGTAATAATGCTGTTTTTCATCCTCAACTAAAGGTGGCTTTGAATGGGAGGGCGGTGGAGCGCTGTCATTCACTAATTGGGTTCTTGGTGAACCGAACAACCACGAAAGCTCCGAAGACTGCGTTGAGATGTATGTGGCTTCTGGAGAATGGAACGACAACAATTGTTACGAAGAACGAGGAGTAGTGTGCAAGGCAGATAAAGGTAAACATTGCCATGTAATCGTCAACCGGAATAAATCAAGATTGATCTATTATTATTCGTGTTAGACGAGTCTTTCGGTTCCATCCTTCCGTGTATATGTGCGTCTGTGCGCCCGGAGTAATTACCCGGGCATTCTTCGGCGATTTTCTTTCCGGACTTTTTACCAGGATCATGCACTTCATATTTTGTACATGTGCTAACTCATAGGTAAAACCATAGATTATGTTATTTTGTAGGACTTTGCCGAATTGACGCTAATTTTGTCTTAAGCTCTGAAATCGCACAGTCTGTAACTTGAAATGTTTTCCGAATCATTTCTCGCAGACGCACTTTCAGTCATAGTGCATTGGAATTGACATACATACAATACTGTATGGAGGAGACATTTGAACACAGAGATCGACTACCGGTGAAAATAACATGGGGACGACTATGCAATATCAATGCTTGATTTAGATATTAGTTTATTCGCAATATTTTCTGTCACATGATATTTTATTCACTGACTGTCACACTCACATGACGTGAGTCATGATGTTTTAGCATTTTTGTAATTTTGGCTCAAAATAGTAGTAATGTTGGTTTATTTATAT